GACGGGACGGCACACGAGACAGCGCAACATACAGCAGACCGGGACAAAACGCTTTTTTGACGTCCACGATGACCTTCCCACGAAGAGTCGCGCCCTGAGACCTGTGTGCGGTGATTGCATACCCGAGCATCAGAGGAAAAGTCGCCTTGAAATATCGCCTCTCATTGTGATAGAGGTTCTTTACTGAGGAGCGCCTGACCGCAACCTCTTTGCCGCCGTGGCAAGACATTTTCAGACGAATCTCATCCCGCATATCATTTTCAAGGCGCACAGAAGTAACCTCTGCGGTGGCCCCATTGGCAGCACCGTTTTCTAGATCGAGGTTCTGCGTAATCATCACCTTGGCACCGACCGCGACCCTTTGCAGCTGGTGAAAGTAAGAATCGGACAACCACTCTTTCAGATCGCGTTCGGCAGAGGCGTTGGTGACAACACTGACCTGCTTGAGGCGGTCGCCGTCCAAGAAAATGCAAGACGCGCAGAAGTTGTTGTAGTCGACCACTTGATCGCGATGGCTGCACAGGATTGTGGTGTCAGCGTCAAAAGTTTTCAGTGCTGTGGTCTTAGGGACGAAACACGGCCCCAAATAGTGGTTGATCTCATCTTTAGTCGGCTTGCGGTGCCGAATGATGCACAAGAATTCAAGAAGCCCTGGATCATCGTGGCGCATCGACCTAGTCAAGGCATGACACAGTGCAGAAGACCAATGGACAGATCTGCTTATGTGACACCGCTGGCAGACCTCGTCGTCGGGAAGGTCGTGCCTGCATACCGCAGGTAACTGAGCGTGGTCACCAAAAAGAATGAGCAGCTTGTTTTCCAGTGGGTCCCTCTTTCTAGTGACTTGCTGAAGGCGAAAGAAAATCAGGTCGAGTGTGGAGCAATCCATCATAGAGAACTCGTCACCGAGAAAGACATCGGCTTTGAGCAGGACATCATGCTGGAAGCTACCAGGATACAAAGGAGAAAGGTAGGTCGACTTTGCAGGGATCGAAAAGCGGTTATGAGCAGTCACCGCACCAGAGCCTATGCGGGTTGCGGCGGATCCAGTGGTTGCAAACAAGCACACATTGAGAGACTGGGAATAAAACAGCGCGTGCAGAAACCGAAGCAGATAAGATTTCCCACAGCCAGGAGGCCCTGAGATGACGTGCAAACCCCGAGGACGTTGCCTTATTGCCTCTACCAACGCAAGCTGCTCGACATTTAGAGTAAAGGAATCTGGAGACGGGGGAGGCTCGACGGAATCAAACAAATCAGACACGGTCTCCGGTTGAACAGCCGTGGGCCCATGAACAGAGGGCTTGACGCGAAGAAGGGGCTCGAACTCACCACTCTGGAGCGGACGCTTCTGCAGGATCTTGTTCAGGAGCTGGGCGCGTTGCTCAGAGGCGATCAGGTTCCGATCTGCATAGGATTGGAGATGCGTCTCGATGTCAGCTTCGTCCTTCACAATTCCCGCGGAGCTGGCATTCAATGAAGTAGGACCCCGAAGTGTTCTCAGGACTGAGAAGATCTGCTTCGAATCGGAACCTGACCGCACCGAGGAGGACATTGAAAAAATAGGCCTCCATCTGATGCGCCGGGTGAAAGTCACTGAATCTGACAAGGCCGCACTGGCTGCTGCGCTCGTATACAAAGTTTCCAAAGCCGTCCACACCAAGCGACTGCTTTCGGACCTTCTTATCTTTCGACAGGACAAATCCTCGAAAGTATTCGAAAAACGTGACGTTTTCAAGGGCAGAGGGACGAGCGCAGTACTTCTCAATGGGGTGCACAATGACAGCAGATCTTGTGGAGGGGACTACAACCTTTGTTCTGAGAAACGGAGGCGCAGAGTCAATCGGAGTCACAGAGTCACTCCTGTCCACAATCGAAATCTCCATCACAGACATTGCAGCTTCGCAAGGGGAGACCGGCTGAGAAAGACAGAAGGCAGAGACAGCACGCAGCTGAGAATCTGAGAGGCCATGCAAACCCAGCGACTTGGCAGCTTGCGGATCTAGGTTGAGGGATCCAGAAGGCTCGCACTTCATTGCATACTTCAGCAGATAGTGAGACCAGGCATCGCTAGTCACTCTCTGAATGTTCAAATGTGCACCCCAGAGTAGGAGCAACACCGGGTGATACGGTACAACATATCGGTCCTGATGTCGCGGTCTGTAATAAATCCAACGCATCCGATCAGGACAGAAGGCGGCAGCGGAGCTTGGGTGCGGCTTCCATGGGAAACCGTACTTACATGGCTTGTCGTCTAGGAGGCAGAGACCAGGTCTGCAACGATGACGCTGCTTTCTCAGGACGTGCGCCTGAAGTTGGGCCTTCAGAGGGTCGTCAAAACGCTCGAATCTTTTGGAGATCGGATCAAACTTCCCTGGAATAAAAGCGACAATCTCGTCAGTCACACGTACCACGTCTTCAGGCGCTACCCAGAGGATGATATGAGCATGAGGGCTACCTCGTGACTGCATCTCGTAGCGCGTAACGTAGTGGAGAACCCTGCCAAGAACGCCATTTTTAGGGTCAAGAATAAATGTCTTCATGAACGTTCTCAGTCGGCTGTGAAACAACTTCAAGCACTCCACTGGAGCATCTTTCCAGGTGGCAGAGGAGTTGAAGCGGTCAAGAAATGCCTCCAAGTCATCGAACTCCACCCAGCGCAACTCAGTCACCTCGTCTGCAGTCAAAGTCAAAAGAAACTTGGAAGGCCCCACTGATCGACCATACTGAGAAGATCTTTTAAGTTCTTCCGAAACCAGGCAGGAGAGCCAGCAACACACGAAGGTACCTTGTACTTTAAAACGTGCTTCATGACATCATCCAGAGACGCGAGAGGATTCTTCTTCTTGTAAGCAAGAATGGCGCGATCATACGCAATGGTTCTGGTCGTGTTCATCAAGACAACAGCTTTGCGAACCTGATACATCAGAAGCAAGTAAGGGAGGTAAAGTGTGAAAGGCGAGAAAAGAGCTTTCATGCGGGTGCGAAGGTATGTTGGCAGGGAGATCTTGGAGTCATAAGCACCAGAGCCAAAGGGGAAGAGGAAAGGGAACAAGGCGGTTTCCAAAGTGACCTTCTCATCGTCAATAGGACGCACAGGAAGCCCACACACGTTGGTGGTCAGCCGCTTCACAACATAGCCATTCCGAGTGACCAGAGACCCCGTGTCAAAAGCTGACGACTTGTTCAGTGAGGCATTCTGGGATATACCGTCAAGATTGGGGAAAGAAACCGTGTAAAGTAAACTCTGAACATCGTCTGCATCTATGCTCATGGACTGAAAAGGACCACGACCTCGGTTTGCCGACACGATGGATTCGATCGCCGACGAAGGCAAAACAGGGACACCAAATCGAGGATGCGGAGACTCAAGCATCGTAAGGTAGTTCTGAAAGAGAGAGTTCTGTTCTAGATTCAAAGCCAGCACGCTTTTCAAAAGGTCAGGGATATCATCGAGGTTTGTGCACTCTCCGAGATTCGTGTTCCAAGCGATGAGAGGTCCGTCCAGAATGGATGAGTCTTCAAGCACACCGTGCGCATAGCCTTTGAGCTTTTTGATCATCTCCAAGCTTGCATCAACAAGGCCAAGCATTTGCAAGTGCAAAGGGTGAAGTGTGAGAAGCGACCGAACGTAAGCAGGCGAGAACATTACTGCGTAGTTTTGCCAGGCATACGGTTTGTCCTTGCAAGCAGAACAAGCATACCACAGTCCGGCTTCGTTACGAGTGAATTCCTCCAAAAGAACGTTGCATAGAGCATATGGAGAAATTTCAGAACGAGGATTCACTGTGTGGAGCTTTGCATCAAAACCTCCAAGCGCAGTATGACCACAAAAAGCACAGCATGTTACTCTCGTGAAAGCCTGACGGCAAAGAGCCCTCCAACCAGCCAGAGTCGTTGACAATGTGTTCCAATGTCGACAGAGCACATCTGATTCGGTGCGCTGAGGCGCAACGGCCATAACTTCCACAGAACCACAGTAGCTGAAGCGAATACATAGGAGATGGTAATGAACGAAGAGGTGAAATCTCACCTGAAGCGGAGGTTTTGATGAGGTCAACGCAGATGTGGCTTCGAAGCCTGAGAAGTGCGGCAGTAGCCAAACACCAATCGGCCCGGAGAACCTCAGCGACTGTACAAGTGGGCAAGCTCAGGTTCGGCGAAGCAAAGTACAGACGCCGCGCGACCAACAACCTGCATCGGATATTGCACTGAGAGTTAGTATTCTAAGTCTGGGTTTTGTGAAAATATTTCAGGTCGTATCTCAGCATTCTAACGGCGGTCCGGACGAGGTATTCCTTTTTTAAAAACGTGATGCTTGAACAGAACATCCAACCAACTCTCAATGAGCAAGGCCTTTTCTTCCTTGGAATCTACGTATGACAAATCTTGAATGTAATGAAAGCATAGTGCAAGGTTGTCCACAGCTTGAAGATTGTACTGGCGGCCATATCCAACGCAGTAAGAAACAGCGAAGAGAAGAGTACGAACAATAATCGAAGGTGAGCCAAAGGCTCCAACCTCAAAATTGCGTCTGTGCTGAGCTCGAAAGAAGTTTACATCGTGCTTGTTGGACCAAGTCAGAGCAGCGTCGAGCAATGCGGAGAACGTCTCATCTTTCACAACCGCACGTGGCAGAGCCATAGGTGTGTGAACACTCACCAATACACTGACCGGATGGGGATGGGGCAGGACGGGGCAGAGCTTGATGGGTCTCTGGTAAGGCTGCTGAAGGTAGCTGAGGGTGTGGGGGGTGTTGCAGGGAACTTGAGGGGAGCTCGCGATTTGCTGAAAATGTGATATGAAAAAAATGCTGGGTCAGAAAACGTATATAAGGTTTTCAATGCACACTGCATTGAGAGGAGCTTCTGGAAGTCTGGAAGGTTTGGAAACTTCTGCAGCCAACGCAACAAATCTTCTGGATCTGATTCAATGGCCCTCATTGCAGCTCCTAAGCAAATCTGCAGCTAAAAAGACCCCATTGGCCACCACTGGAACCAAGAGCATCTTATTGGCCAGTTTAGGAAGAGGCCAGCAAACTAAAAGATTGATTGGTCGATTTTCATGATTTTGATAAAAAAAAGTGACTCCTTTTTTTATCTACATGCAGGATTCCGATCCGCAGCCATTGAACGGCGCGCGAAATCCGGAATGAGGCGCTGCTTTTGGACCACACATGGAAACCACGGCCGGTGCCTTCATCTACATTTTACAACCTCGACTCCTAGAGTCGACACAATTTTTTACCTTTGGTGCGATTCCTTTTTTGCATGTTACCAGTCGAAATGTATGGTACACCAGAGAATATATATGTGGTGCGACTCTCTGCTATGTGGCTTCAAACATAGCTTCAGTCGAACGGGTTTTAACACCGAAAATTCGATGAAGTGCAGAATTTTATAGACTGGTGCGCGACTGAAACTTTGACACCATGACGCGAAATCGGTGCGACTCTGCGCGAATTGCTTTCTGTCGAACGGAACATACATCGAAACATAGATTGGTGTAGAAATATTCTATATTAAGGTTCGACTCGGAGTTTTGACACCGTTCGGCAGTCTGCAAAAAAACGTTATTATTGACACACTACAAGCACTCCGGGTCACTACGGAAGTCAGGCGACCCTACGGGTGCCAACGGACCAATCAGATTGCGTAGAGCTCGAAATTGACCCACTAAGAGCCCCCT